CTTGTGTTGAATCAGTGCTTCCCCGTGCATTCATCTATTTCTCGTCTCTCTTTACTGCCAGGATGGTTCTCGCCAAGCACAGTCGAACCTGACCTTTCTGTCAATCCTGAAGGAACCTTACCAGGAGTTGGCTTTCATGAAGCCCAAGGACATCTCTAGCAAGCTCCCTAAGCTGATCAGTCTCATTCGAATCATCTGGGTCAACTCTCCCCACTACAACACTCGGGAGAGACTGACCTCGCTCTTCCGAAAGGTGTGCATATGCCGAGAGCAGGCTGGAGGTGTTTACGAGGGTGGCCAGGTTTTCTGAAGGGGGAATGCATTTGGCACAGGATCATGGTTCAAAAGATAGTGAAGATTGCCCTTCTGCTCAGAGACTGAAGGCTTCTACCTATGTCATCCGCTTAAGGGCTGCTCAGCCTTGGACCCTGGGCTGGACTTTCTGTTTCTAGATGGAGGTGGCTTAGGCAGGAAGAGGGGCTTCAGAATAGGAGTTGGTGGAACATGGGGAAGCGGCAGGAAGAACAGACCCCCAGGCTGGGCTGTGCGGAAGGAAAAGCTCTTCTTCTCATTCCTCAGGATGGAGATTGCAGTGAGGGAGAGGTGGATTTAGGAAAAGGCACTGGCTCTTGAGGAGCAGAGCCTGGTGCATTCACTGGGGGTGACAGAGCCAAAGAGCAGGAGAAGGGACAGTGAACTGAGAGCTTGCTGGGCAGGGCAGCTGCGGAGCTGGGCTGAGGCAGAGTAATGGGCCACCTAGGAGAAGGAGTGGGCATGGAACCCAGAGGTGTCGTCCTGGCCAGCAGTGGAGACCTGGGGTGGGATGAGTTTCAGGAGTCAAATCAAGGAGTAGGGGGTTGAGACACGAGCACGGGCAGGGGGATGCAGAGAAGGAATTGGGTGTAAAGGAGGCGGGAACAGAGGCTGTGGGGACTCCTTCCGCAGATGAGCAATGAGATCATCCGCTTATGCTGCCATGCCATCTCCCTGGACCGGATCTTTGAGGGATATGTCTCCTCCAGCAAGGCGGACCTGCAAGGCTGCATTTTCTGTTGTCATGCTTGGAAGGATCACTACCTACAGGCTGTGCAGATGCACACCGAGTATGATACGTCTCCCTAACATCCCACATAGCAACTCCCTTGACATCCCTATACCAGGGTAGATGCTGACTTCTTTCAAGTGTACTTTATTTAGCCTCTGGGTTGTATTTTCCTAGACCCAGGAGTTTCTATGTCTGGCATCTGTAGCTTATTGCCTTGAGTTCCCCTTATTTTAATAATCTCTCCTTCCTGATCCCAGGAACCCTATCTGGTCTTTTCCTCCTATCTTGACCCCATAGTCTAAAATTCCATTATGTATGAATCTGCTCCTAGAACTTAGATGCTCTGTCTCCTGCCTGGTTCTTCTCACCTTAAATCTCTTCCCTTGGGATTCAGGAAACTTGCTTCTTTGGATCTGGTTTTCTAGGGCTTTCCCTGAATGCAGGGCTCCCGGTCTAGCTCTGCATCGCCAGACTGATGCCCTTGCCTTCTGATTCAGCCAGTCTTTCTCCCGACACAGGTTCTCCAGTCGGGGCTGGGTCCTAGACCAGACCAGCATCTTTGCTCAGGTTGACGCCTTTGTGCAGCGCTGCAAGGACCTTATTGAGGTGGGAAGGCCGAAGAACCAAGAGCCAACAGCAGACCCTCCAGAATCCCTCCCTTCCTCCTACCCCAGGAACCAGGGGAAACAAGGCAGAGGCTAAACACTGAATTTACAGCTGGGCGCGGTGGCTCATGCCTGTAATGCCAGCACTTTGGGAGGCTGAGATGGTAGATTACCTGAGGTCAGGAGTTCAAGACCAGCCCGACCAACATGGAGAAACCCCGTCTCTACTAAAAATACAAAAATTAGCCTGGTGTGGTGGTGCATGCCTGTAATCCCAGCTACTCGGGAGGCTGAGTCATGAGAATCACTTGAACCTGGGAGGCGGAGGTTGCAGTGAGCCATGACCGAGGCAGTGAAAGTCTCAAAAAAAAAAAAAAAAAAAAAATTCTCAGGTATCAAAGACAGAGAGAAAAAAAAAATTAAACTTACCACGTTGGCTCTTCTTGCACAATTGTGTGCCCTACCACCCCTCCGCTTCTTTTTTGGCATTTGCCTGTTATCACTGCCCTCCTATGTCATATTTCATTCTGCGGCCAAGGTTCATTCCAGCAGCCTCCTGCCCCTGCCGGCAGCTGGTTGGTCCTCCCTGGTTTTTAGACATTTCTTTCTTTCTTTCTTTCTTTTCTCACTTGCCATCACTCCCAGTGATGTTTTTAGACATTTGAAACTAAACCAAATAGCTTAGAACTTAGGAGTTTGGAAGGAAAACAGGAACCCTCACGCTAGCTTCTTTTTAGGTATGTGACTGTCAGTATCACTTCGCCCGCTGGGAAGATGGCAAGCAGGGTCCCCTTCCTTGCTTCTTTGGTGCCCAGGGGCCACAGATCACACGGAACTTGCTGGAGATTGAGGACATCTTTCATAAAAATCTGCAAATGCTGCGGGTCGCTCGCGGGGGCATCCTGGATGTCAAGAACACCTCTTGGCATGAGGACTACAATAAGTGAGGGAACTGCAGGCTGATGCCAGGCGTGGGCAGGGAAGGCAGACCAGGGAGCCAAGAGTGGGAGGAGTGGTGAGAGTGTGCAAAGGAAATGATGGAAGGACAGATCGGGATGCGGAGGGTGTGGACAGGAGAGAGTGCAGGGGAGGGAGGTGGCAGCTTGGGTTGTGGGTTCCAGAGGGAGCCTTTCAGGACTTGAATCTTGGTTCTGCCACATACCAGATATGTGACATTGGGCCAATGACCCCACCAGCTGGTGTCTCCACTTCCTGCTCTATGCAATACAGTTAGTGATAGAACCTATCTCACAGCATTGTTTTGAGAATTAAATGGATTCACGTAAGTAAAGTACTTACAATGCCCGGCACACAGGAAGCCCTCCATACTCAGCAACCCATGGGATTCTTCCTCGGGGGTTGGACTTGGGGGCAGGCGAGTGCACTCAGCTTCCGCATGCCTCTCCACCGGTGCAGGTTCCGTGCCGGAATGAAGGACCTGGAGGTGATGACCCAGAACTTGATCACCTCGGCCTTCGAGTTGGTGCGGGACGTGGAGCACGGCGTGCTCCTGCTGGACACCTTCCACAGGCTGGCTGCCCGAGAGGTGCGGCTGCCCCTTGGTGTCCTTGGCTTTCCATCCCAAGTGCTTTCCTGGAATCCCTTCTGAGCCTTCCAGAGGCCCTCCTGCCTCCATGTGGGTCCTTCTTCATGTCCAGAATCTGGGTGCCTCTTATCTTTCTTCTGTTCCTTGGCTTGGCATCCCCAGGGAGTGTGACTCCCGCAGCAGGGTGCAGCTTTCCTCTGGGTTGAATGACTGGAGGGAGCCTGCCTCCCTGGGCATGTTGCCAGCCTCTGCCTCTTCTTCCCTAGGCTATCAAGCGGACTTATGACAAGAAGGCGGTGGATCTCTATATGCTGTTCAATAGTGAGCTGTCCCTGGTGAACCGTGAAAGGAACAAGAAGTGGCCATACCTGGAGCCCTACATGGCCCAGTATTCTGGACAGGCACGCTGGGTGCACATCCTCCGGCGTCGCGTCAACAGAGTCATGACCGTAAGTGCTTGCCCTTCTATAAACTCTGTCCTCAGGGAGATGGCCAGTTTTGCAGGCTGTGCTCCGTGTGCTGGGAAGGATGGGGGATGGCTTCTGCGAGGTTCCTCAAAGAGTCTTCATGGCCAGCACCTATGTCGGCTAGGAGAATGGCAGGTTCAGTTCAGTGAGGTAGGTTGTGGGTTAAGATCTACAGAGGTGGTGAGTGTGGCTGGTAGCACATGGACTGTTTTAGGAATTTCTTTTTCTTTTCTTTTGGAGACAGAGTTTTGCACCCCAGGCTGGAGTGCTATGACCTGATCTCGGCTCACCACAACCTCTACCTCCCAGGTTCAAGCGATTCTCCTGCCTCAGCCTCTCAAGTAGCTGGGATTACAGGCATGTGCCACCGTGCCCGGCTAATTTTGTATGTTTAGTAGAGACAGGGTTTCTCCATGTTGGTCAGGCTGGTCTTGAACTCCTGACCTCAGGTGATCCACCTGCCTTGGGCTCCCAAAGTGCTGGGATTACAGGCATGAGCCACTGCGCCTGGCCTCATTTTAGGAGTTTCATATCAGGCTGCAGAGGAGGAACAGGGCCAGATTCTGGGGTGTTGAGTCAGCAGAAGATACAGCCTGATGATCCAGGGACATGGACAGGTGAGGCCCTTACAGAGCCTGGTCTCTCTGCAAGCACAGGCACAAAGAAACAACAGGAAAACATTGTTTTAAAACTTTTTGGGGCTGGGCACCATGGCTCAGTCCTGTAATCCCTTTGGGAGGCCGAAGTGGGTGTGGATCATTAGAGGTCAGGAGTTCACGACCAGCTTGGCCAACATGGTGAGACCCCATCTCTACTAAAAATACAAAAATCAGCCAGGTGTGGTCGTACGTGCCTGTAATCCCAGTTACTCAGGAGGCTGAGGCAGGGAAATTGCTTGAACCCGGGAGGCAGACTTTGCAGTGAGCCGAGATTGCGCCACTGCACTCCAGCCTGGGTGACAGAGCAAGACTCTGTCTCAATAAAAACAAACAAACAAAAAACCTTTTTGGGAATACAGGTTGAAAGTGGTTGAGGTAGTAACCTGCCATCGTGCAGCTGGTTCTGGTAGAGTTAGGCAGCCTGCAGATACCTGGAGGCTGGTTTGGGTTTGGCGGGCTATGCCTGTGCTAAGCAGGGCTGACCCTGGTTTTCAACCTTGTGCCTCATATCCTGCCCCTTCTGTGATTGACTTTTTTCTCCCAGCATTTTTTTTTTTTCCTGTACCGATTCTCTGTGCTTCCCTGTTGTCATTTTGACTTCTTTCCTCATCGTGCCTTGGTCTCTTCCTCTCACCTTCCTTTTTGTCTCTACCTTCCCTTTAAGTTGTCAAAAATCAATCCATCTCCATAGCGTACACGTGGTCGGGGTACGTGCGCGTGCATGCATGTGTAGGTCTCAGGGCGATGGTGGCCCTTGGAGGAAGGAAGGTGGCAGACAGCCTCCCCTCGCCTGTTCTTCTTCCCCTCAGTGCCTTGCTGGTGCTCATTTCCTGCCCCATATTGGGACTGGAGAGGAGAGTGTGCACACCTATCAGCAGATGGTCCAGGCCATTGACGAACTGATTCGAAAAACCTTCCAAGAGTGGACGTCAACGCTGGACAAGGACTGCATTCGGCGGCTGGATACCCCACTGTTGCGAATCAGCCAAGAGAAGGCAGGCATGCTGGATGTCAACTTTGACAAGTACGGGAGCCAACTGGCCCCTTCTCTCTACGCGCCCCTTCTCCAGCTCCCCGGAGTTTAACTCCCATCTTTTGGCTCCTCTCTTCATTCTTCTCTCTCTTTCTTATACTACGATATGTTTGCGATCAGCGTTTTACTTTTTTTTCTGTCTCTCCCCACCCCCCACCCTGTTATCAACATTTTAATTTTACAACTTATCTTAAAAAAAAAAACCAAAACGTGGGCCAGGTGCAGTGGCTCACGCCTGTAATCCCAGCACTTTGGGAGGCTGACAGGGGTGGTCACTTGAGCCCAGGAGTTCCAGACCAGCCTGGGCAACATGACAAAACCCAGTCTCTGCAAAAAAACCCCACAAAGATTAGCCAGGCATGGTGGCAGAAGCCTACAGTCTCAGCTACTTGGGAGGGTGAGGTGAGAGGACACTTGAACCTGGGAGGCAGACGCTGCAGTGAGCTGAGATCACACCACTGCACTCCAGCCTGGGGGACAGAGTGACCCTGTCTCAAACAAACAAAAAAAAACCCAAAACTACTCCACTATCCAACTAAACCAGAGATGTAGCTGTTCTGCCACTAGATGGCCATGGTGGCTCAGCTAAGTCACTCAGACCTGCCCCTGGGTCCCAGCTTTCCTGAGCATTGGTGGGGCTGTCAGACCATGTCTTCCTCGCCTACAGCTTTATAGTTATGAAATTGTCATACTATATACATTTAAAATGTAATTAATCAATTAACTAATTTATTAAAAATACATAGTGAGTGCCTTCCACACGTCAGGAGCTGAAATAGGCACAGGCAGGGAATGTATACAACGGCCAAGTTCCTGCCTTCAGGGATGTTAGGCTGCCTCTCTCTAGTTCAACAGCTCTACGCTTGGAGCGGGGCTTCCTGTTCACATAAGATGCTTCGAGGCTGTGGCTACTAGCGTTAGCCTTCACTCAAAATGTCCATGCTTGAGCCTGGCCAACATGGCGAAAACTTGTCTCTACTAAAAATGCAAAAATTAGCTGGGCATGGTGGCACACACCTGTAATAATCCCAGCTACTTGGGAGGCTGAGGCAGCAGAATCGCTTGAACCCAGGAGGCAGAGGTTGCAGTGAGCCAAGATCGCAATACTGCACTACAGCCAGGGCGACAGAGTGAGACTCTCTCAAAAAAAAAAAAGTAAGTAAAAAAGGCCAGGTGCGGCAGCTCATGCCCGTAATCCCAGCACTTTGGGAGGCTGAGGCGGGTAGATCATGAGGTCAGGAGTTCAAGACCAGCCTGGACAACATGGTGAAACCCTGTCTCTACTAAAGATAAAAAAAAATTAGCTGGTCGTGGTGGCAGGCACCTGTAGTCCTAGCTACTTGGGAGGCTGAGGCAGGAGAACCGCTTGAACCGGGAGGCGGAGGTTGCAGTGAGCAGAGATTGGACCACTGCACTCCAGCCTGGGCGACAGCCAGACTCCGTCTCAAAAAAAAAAAAAAAAGGCTGGGCACAGTTGCTTATGCCTGTAATCCCAGCATTTTGGGAGGCCGAGGCAGGTGGATCACCTGAGGTCAGGAGTTCGAGACCAGCCTGGCTAACATGGTGAAACCCCATCTCTCTCTCTCTTTTTTTAAACCCCATCTCTCTTTAAAAAAAAAAAAAAAAAAAAAGTCCATGCTTGTGGGGCCAAATGTAGAAGGGGCTTTACCAGAGAAGTCCTGTATGGAGATAGAGTCCCAGGGACAGATGAGACCTCGAGTGTTTGTCCTGGGCGAGTGTCTGTCCTGGGCAGCACTAGCCAGGGGAAGAGGGCACATTCTGGTTGAGGAAGGAAGCAAAAGAACCAAGATGGGGAAGCAGAGTGGAGTGTCAGGTGAGAGGGTGAGGCAGAGGCATCAGTGAGAAGTGCAGGGATGTTGGGAGCCGCGCGGATGAGGAAGCAGTTGAGGAGCAGAGTGTGAATGTGGCCAGGCCGAGAGGTCTGAGAAAAGGCTAGGGCCAGTGAGGGATGTTGGAGATCGGCTCTGCTGAGCTGCCTGGTTTTATGAGTTATGGCCAAGCACAACCATGTAAACATTGACTCATAATGAGTAGCCTGTAGTCCCAGCTACTCAGGAGGCTGAGGTGGAAGGATTGCTTGAGCCCAGGATGTCGAGGCTGCAACGAGCTTGATTGTGCTACTGCACTCCAGACTGGGCGACAGAGCCAGACCTTGTCTCAAAAAAAAAAAGAAATGCCGTATGTCAGCACTGATTGGTAGCTACCTCCTTCTACTCGCCAGGGGTCAGCCAGTGAGAGTGGATACAGCATGAACTTCAGTGCTAAATAGTCTCAAGTTCAAACCCTGGAGCATTTTGCCACGTGACCTCAGGTAAGCCGTTGAATTTCTCTGAGCCTGAGTTTCCTCATCTACTTAAAAACCTTTTCCGGCAGGGCAGTGCCAGCACTTTGGGAGGCGGAGGCGGGTGGATGAAGAGGTCAAGAGGTCAAGACCATCCTGGCCAAATGGTGAAACCCCGTCTCTACTAAAAATACAAAAAAATTAGCTGGGCATGGTGGCGCCCCCACGCCTGTGGTCCCAGCTACTCGGGAGGCTGAGGCAGGAGAATCACTTGAACCTGGGAGATGGAGGTTGCAGTGAGCTGAGGTCACGTCACTGCACTCCAGAGTGGTACCATCTCAAAAAAAAAAAAAAAAAAGCAACTTTGGGCCAAATATTTATGGCCTGGGTTTATCTGAAACCCAAATAATGGCTAAATGGGGCTTCTAGATAGAAGAGGTACCTGCTTCTGTCCTTTGGGGATTGTTTTCTAGAGAGATGTTATAGGATACTTTACATTTTTGTGGTTTTAAGATAAAACTGCCTCAATCCAGTAAATAATGGAAGGGAAGAACATGAGCATAGTGAAGGATTTTGAAAGTCTGGGCTGATCACCAGTAAAGAAATCCAAGAGGTTGCAGCTTCCAAAACTTATCAACACTTCAAGGAAGTGCAGATAACTTTATCAGATTTGCTCTTTGTGTTCAAGCTCTGGTTAAGATCTTGAAATAAGCAGACTGTTCAAACGTCCTGATGTTCCTTGGAATTACCTGGCTCTCTTAGTCCTGGAGCCTCCAGTCCCTAATGGCCCTTATTTTATCCCACAAGGGGTTTTGTGATCCCACCTTATATCCCAGATATCTGAACTCTGAAGTCCAAATTGGCTTTGATCACGTTTTACAACCCGCTTTATAGATTACACTGAACACAAACATATTCCAGATGTCATCCTTACCCTGGCCGAAGGAGCTGTGCTATGACTCTGTGGGGAGCAGAGCAGAATTTCCTGAGAGCAGGAGATGAGATACTGAGCTTTGTTTTTTGTTCCCAGAGCTTCTCTCTTCTCTTTTTTCCCAGTCATAGAGTGCTGTCTCCCCCAGGTCAGCCCGCTCTGGGCTCTAAGCACTCAACTCTGCTGGCTCTCCTTTCTACCTCTACTGCCTGACCACTAGTTTGGAGATAAATTATGAAGTATTTTTAAAAAGTCGTCCCCCAAACAGATTTTTACTTATTTATTTTTTTGAGATAAAATCTCACTCTGTTACCCAGGCTAGAGTGCATTGGCATAATCTTGGCTAACCGCAGCCTCTGCCTCCCAGGCTCAAGCAATTCTCCCACCTAAGCCTCCTGAGTACTAGGAAAACAGGCAGCCGCCACCATGCTCAGCTAATTTTTTCTATTTTTGGTAGAGATGGGTTTTCACCATGTTGCCCAAGCTAGTCTCGAACTCCTGAGCTCAAGCCATCCCCTCGCCTCAGCCTCCCAAACTGTTGGGATAACAGGCCTAAGCCACCTTGCTTGGCTCCCCCAACAGATTTTTAAAGAAAAGATGATATATATACATATATTTTTAGAGACGGGGTTTCTCCATATTGGCTAGGCTGGTCTCGAACTCCCGACCTCAGGTGATCCACCTGCGTCGGCCTCCCAAGTGCTGGGATTACAGGCCTGAGCTACGGCGCCTGGCCTAAAAATTATATTTTTTAATAAAATAGATTTTACATTCTGGAAATTTCTCGACAAACTTCTGTTAAAGACTGAACGTCATTCAAAGGTTCCTCCCAGGATTTTCAGCTCAGCGTCAGGAAGGTATTGCCTGAATTCATCCTGTTGACTGACACATTAAAATTGGCTAATTGGCCTTGAAGTTACTTTGAAAATCTTACCAAGATGAGAGAATGAAGAAACGTTTTGGTGCAATGTTGGCCAGCATACATGCCCATGTAGGCTTGCCCAGATGTGCATGAACAGTGACAAATCTAAGGCATCCAGCTTGAAGGACATTAGAATATGTTTATGCTACTAGAAATGTCCCTGTATCTGTTCTCCGCATATCCCTATAACACAGCATTTTGTTACATTGATCTTTGGAGTTTATCTTGTTATGGCTCTGTTAGTATTGTTTACTGCTGAGTTGTGTAATTTTACATTGTTATAGTTTTTCCTTTGGTTGTACGATGTTTTGCTCTATTTGGAATTTAAAATTATCTCATTATTATTATTGTTATTATTTTGAGACAGAGTTTTGCTCTTGTCGCCCAGGCTGGAGTGCAGTGGGGTGATCTCGGCTCACTGCAACCTCTGCCTCCCGAGTTCAAGCGATCCTTCTGCCTCAGCCTCCCGAGTAGTTGGGATTACAGGCGCCTGCCACCATGCCCAGCTAATTTTTTTGTGTTTTTAGTAGAGACGGGGTTTCACCATGTTGGCCAAACTGATCTCGAACTCCTGACCTCAGGTGATCCACCCCCTTGGCCTCTCAACGTGCTGGGATTACAGGCCTGAAACACTGTGCACCTCATTATTTTTGTTAGCACAGCGTTCACTATCATTAATTCTTCCAAACCAACCAATAAAACCTTTTCGAGAAGCATTTTTCCTCACAATCTGACATGCCCAGTATTGGCGTCAATGTTTTTCTTTGATTTGTTCCTCCCTGTCCTGCTTCTGTCCAACTGGTGTTGGTTTCAAGGCCTGTTACAAAGCAGTTACCCTGGGACTTCCCTTAGCCTCTTTCCTCAGGTGATTTCCTATTTCCTTTGTCTTCCTCTTTCATGGTTTATGCCTTTGTTTGGTTAGTGTGTATCCGTTAGTAGCTTCCTAAGAAACTGTGCGTGGGAGGTAAATCTTTTGAGTTTTTGCATGATTGGCAACTGTTTTTCTGCCCTCTACTTGTTGGACATTTGACTGGGTTCGGAATTTAGCGGATTTCTAGTAATTTTCTTTGGCTTTGGCCTCTCTCTTTTACTTGGGAGGCTTTTCTTAAATGTCTGGTGATCCACTGCTCATTTCTACTTTTGAGAGGCTTACTCACTTTGAAGAAATTTTAGCAGTTTTAAAAATACCACATACGTTAGTGGCGATCTTCAGGGTTTGAAAAAACAGCATTTCTTCTTCCACAATCTCTTAAAGCGTGTATCACAAGTATGTGAGCACTTGAAAATCATTTCATTCTTGGAAGACTCTTCTCCAGTAAAGAAGGTGAAAACACAATCCTTTGCAAAGTTTGAAATGTGTTGTTATCTCCAATATTGTTAATTCAGTACTTGCCTGTCGAAAAGACTAAAAAAATTCTAGAATTTTCTTTCCAAATAACATTTCAGCAGTATTTAGAATGCAGAGTTTCTTGAGCATATCTTCAGGTCGTGGGAACTTTTATCCTTTGTGATTAACAAGTTCAATTTTATTTTAAAACCCTGCAGGTTAAAAAAATCAAGTTTTTTTTTTTCTTTCCTCAATGGAGTCTTGCCCTGTTGTCCAGGCTGTAGTACAGTGCCATCACCTTGGCTCACTGCAGCCTCCATGTCCTGGGTTCAAGCAATTTCTGGCTAATTTTTATATTTTTAGTAGAAACAGGGTTTCACCATGTTGGCCACTCTGGTCTTGAACTACTGACTTCAAGTGATCTGTCCACCTCAGCCTCCCAAAGTGCTAAGATTACAGACATGAGCCACCTCATCCGGACTTTTGTTTGTTTTTTGTGTGTGTGTTTTTGAGACAAAGTTGTACTCTGTCATCCAGGCTGGAGTGCAGTGATGTCATCTTGGCTCACTGCAACCTCTGCTTCACAGGTTCAAGCAATTCTTCTGCATCAGCCTCCTGAATAGCTGGGACTACAGGTGTGCACTCCCATACCTGGCTAATTTTTGTATTTTTAGTAGAGAAGGGGTTTCACCATGTTGGCCAGGCTGGTATCAAACTCCTGACCTCAAGTAATCTGCCAGCTTCGCCTTCCAAAGTGCTGGGATTATAGGTGTGAGCCACTGCACCCTCAAGTGATTTTTATTCAAGACTTTTTTTTTTTTTTTTGAGACGGAGTCTCACTCTGTTGCCCAGGCTGGAGTGTAGTGGCGTGATCTTGGCTCACTGTCACCCACGTTGGAGTGTAGTGGCGTGATCTCGGCTCACTGCAGCCTCCACCTCCTGGTTCAAGCAATTTTCCTGCCTCAGCCCCTGAGTAGCTAGGATTAAAGGCACACACATCACCATGTCCAGCTAATTTTTGTATTTTTTTTTAATTTATTTTTTTTCCCATTCACCCAATACACTTGGAATTTTTGTATTTTTGGTAGAGATGGGGTTTCACCACGTTGGTCAGGCTGGTGAATTCCTGACCTTGTGATCTGCCGTCTCAGCCTTCCAAAGTGCTGGGATTACAGGCGTGGGCCACCATGCCTGGCCTGATTTTTTATTTTTCAAGAGGAAGTCTGTCTCACTCTGCAGCCCAGGCTGGAGTGCAGTGGCATGATCTCACTCACGCAACCTCCGCCTCCCAGCCTCAAGCAATTCTCCTGCCTCAGCCTCCCGAGTAGCTGGGTTTACAGGTACTCGTCACCATGCCGGGCTAATTTCTGTCTTTTTAGTAGAGACAGGGTCTCACCTTGTTGGCCAGGCTGGTCTCTAACTCCTGACCTCAAATGATCCACCCACCTTGGCCTCCCAAAGTGCTGGGATTACAGGCGTGACCCACCACACCAGGCCAAGATTTTTTTTTTTTTTCAAAAATATTCCATATTTTCTTCTGGTATTTTATGACTTTATTCTCTACATTTAGATCTTTGATTCATTTGAAATTTATTTTGGTTAGGGAAAGAGGTGCAGATTCAAACTGAGTTTCGTATTTCATTGTTTGTTTTTTCCAGATGGCTAGAACCATCTCATTTAGAGTTGACCCAATCTCATTTAGTGAACTGCCATCTTTATAGTAACAAATTCCCGAGTATATTTGTGTCTATTTTGGGATTCACTATTCTGGTATCTGTCTATTCATGGGCAGGAACCAAACTGTTTTAATTATTGTCCTCGTTACTCTTCTTTCTTCAGAGTTTTCCTGGCTGTATTTAATATTTATTTCCCATAAGAATTTTAGAATCAATTTATTTAGTTCTAAAAATAGTCTCATTTCTATTTTTATAGGAATAGAGATTTGGTTAAATTTATAGGTTAACTTTAGAAGAATGAATATCTTTATGATTTTGAGTCTTTCCAAGAATAGTTGCGGGGTGTGTGTGTGTGTGTGTGTATGTGTGTGTGTTTATGTTTTGAGACTGATTCTTGTTCTGTCACCCAGGCTGGAGTGCAGTGACACAATCTCGACTCACTGCAGCCTCTGCTTCCCATGCTCAAGTGATTCTTCTGCCTCATTTTTCTGAGAAGCGGGGATTACAGGCGTCTGCCACCGTGCCTGGCTAATTTTTGTGTTTTTTGTAGAGATGGGATTCCACTATGTTGGTCAGGCTGGCCTCAAACTCCTGAGCTCAAGTGATCTGCCTGCCTCAGCCCTACAAAGTGCTGAGATTACAGGCGTGCGCCACCACGCCCACCTGGCCCCTGCTTCCTTTCTTATCTTGACATTCTTAGCTCTACATTGCCCCCTTCCCACCCCGATGCTTCCCAGCCCTCCTGCCTGTTCGGTTGTTGCTCTAGTTTATCCCCTTAGCAGCGCCCTCACTCCCTGGCTTCTCTATTTCCAAGGTCCCTTCTGATTCTCTTTGTGGAGATTGACTACTGGGAGCGGCTGCTGTTTGAGACGCCCCATTACGTGGTGAACGTAGCTGAGCGAGCCGAGGACCTGCGCATTCTGCGTGAAAATCTGCTACTTGTTGCTAGAGACTACAATAGGTAGGGCTCGGGTTCTCACTGCAGCCCTTGGAGATGCTATTTTATTCCTTCTCTTTCTCATATCTGCCCCATGACGTTGTCCATTTTCTACAATTTCTGTCCTTTACACTCTTTCCATCTCAAAAAAAATTGTCTCCTACTCTCTCTTGTGACCCTACCATTATTCCTACCCCTTGTAGTTTTGCCTTCTAGCTGCAGCGTGGAGAGTAAAACCAACCAGGATTCCCTCCCACCCCATTGGGTACTTGGACCATGTATACTGTAGCTCTGGGCCACTTCTCTAGGAATGAAACGGGGTGGCATTAGGATTATGTGTGCAGAATAACATCAGACTCATTGAACTAAGGCCCTGCTGTCCCCATCCCTGCCTCAGTTTCTGAACTACCTTGGTATTCTCTCTGGAGTGAGGCTTTGTTCTGGGTTAAGTACTGTCTTAGTCTGTCTGGGCTTCTATAACAAAATGCCACAGACTGGGTGGCTTATAAACATTTATTTCTCGCAGTTCTGGGCGCTGGAGAGTCCAGGAGTAAGGCGCCAGCAGATATGGTGTGGTGAGGGCCTGCGTCCTGGTTTATAAGTGGCTGTCTTCTTGCTGTGTCCTCACATGGGAGAAAGAGACAAAGGAGCTCTTGTAGGTCTCTCATGAGGGAACTAATTCCATTCATGAGGACTCCACCCTCATGACCTATTCACCTCCCAAAGGTCCTAACACTGTCACTGTGGGACTGGGGATTTCAACATGTAAATTTGGTGGGGACGCAAACATTCAGACCACAGCAGGTAACTTTCTCAGCCCAGTTAAAACCCAAGGAGGTGCAACCAGCAATCCTGTTTGAGGGTCTAGAGCTGCAGTGTCCAGCATGGTGGCCTCTAGCTGCAGGTGGCTATTTCCATGTAAACTGAGTAAATAAAACTTAAACAAAACTACTCATTGGTACAGGCCACACTTCAAGTGCTCCGTAGCTGTACATGGTGAGTGGGTACCATACTGGACAGCACAGCTTGTGTTAGGTTGGTCCAAAAGTGATTGCAGTTGCTGCCGTTACTTAAGTGGCAGTCACTTTTGCCCCAACCTGAGAGAACATTTCCATCATTGTAAAAAGTTATTTTAGAAGTACTAGTCTAGGATCTAGCCTACTGGTCTAGAAATGTTCAGATTTCTCCACCACTTCCTAATGCAGGGGAAAGATCTTCAGGGCTTACCCCTCAGGCTACCAGTCCTCTCTTATGCACAGGATTATTGCCATGCTGTCCCCAGATGAGCAGGCCCTATTCAAAGAGCGTATTCGGTTCTTGGATAAGAAGATCCACCCTGGACTCAAGAAACTACATTGGGCCTTGAAGGGGGCCAGTGCCTTCTTCATCACGGAGTGCCGGATACATGCCAGCAAGGTGGGCCGTCATCGTTAGACCCTAAAGGTCTGCAAGACTGATGGGTGATTCGTACCCTAGTCTTGCATAGAGATTGGGAAACCTGGGGGCAGTGTAGAAAGAATTGGGTTTGCATGGGGAAGGACTTCTTTGTGTGTCATCCAGTCTAGCTGGAGGACAAGTGGGAGGGTAGAATGAGATGCAGATGGTCTCTTCCCAAGCTGAAACTCCCCCATGGTGGGGCCTGATTCTAGGTTCAGATGATTGTGAATGAGTTCAAGGCATCCACTCTGACCATTGGCTGGCGAGCCCAAGAGATGTCAGAGACATTGCTGGTACGCATTAGTGGCAAACGGGTATACAGGGACCTGGAATTTGAAGAGGACCAAAGACAGCATCGGGTAGCTGTACAGCAGAAATTGATGAGTCTGCACCACGATGTGGTGACCATCATGACCAACTCCTACGAGGTCTTCAAGAATGATGGTCCTGAGGTAAGGGGCCTGTGACCAGGATGTTGTCGTTGGAAAAACCACAGTCCTCCAGTTCCACCAGGCCATTCTCTTGCTCCCCCACCCTTTTTCCTTTTTACCAGTGTGTACTTCTCAAACATCGTGCTCAAGTCTTGGACTCAGCCCACCTTCAGTCCTCACACCTCTTCCTCCAGGACTCCACGCCTGCCTTTCTATTAAACCAACTTGTTTCCTTCCCTCTTGGCTGGTTCTCATTTCCCAGGATTGCCCTGTCTTCCCTGAGGAGTTCTCTTTTTCCTCCCTTCAACTCACCAGATTCAACAGCAGTGGATGCTGTACATGATTCGGTTGGACCACATGATGGAGGATGCCCTGCGCCTGAATGTGAAATGGTCACTGCTAGAACTATCCAAGGCTATCAACGGGGATGGAAAGACCAGCCCAAACCCACTCTTCCGAGTCCTTGTCATTTTGAAGAATGATATGCAGGGAGGTGTGGCACAGGTAGGGACCACTTTGCCCCCAACATCTCAAAACCATTACATCTTACTTGTCAGTTTGCCTTAATTCCTAAACTTGGTCCTTGGCCTTGACTTTATCCTATGGCCTTCAGACCCACTGCTGAAGCGTGTGACTGTCCCAGTCCTAAGGCTTGTCTCCCCTCTCCACTGTGTTCCTCACAGGTGGAGTTCTCACCCACTCTGCAGACTTTGGCAGGTGTGGTCAACGACATTGGCAGCCACCTCTTTTCTACCATCTCCGTTTTTCGCCATCTCCCTGAAATTCTCAGCAAGCGCAGGTTACGTCGTGAATCCATCCAAACAATTGTGGGTGAGTGGGCAACGGGGAGGGCACAAGGCGCAGTGTTTCAGAGGCTGCAGAGGGGGCAAGGCTAGGAGGAGAGACGGGGGCTGTTTCCAGACACACTGAGCCAGTCACCTCCATGACCTGGGAAACCTGGGCCAAAGGGCCAGGTTGGCCAGGAGGCTGAGGCGGGAAGATCATTTGAGGTCAGGAGTTTGAGACTAGCTTGGCCAACATGGCGAAACTCCATCTCGACTAAAAATACAAAGGTTAGCTGGAAGTGGTGGCAGACACCTATAATCCCAGCTACTCCGGAGGCAGAGACAGAAGAATCACTTGAACCTAGGAGGCAGAGGTTGCAGTGAGCCGAGATGGTGCCACTGCACTCCAGCCTGGGTGACAGCATGAGACTCCATCTCAAAAAAAAGGTGGAGGGGGCGGTGGGAGGTTAGGTGATTGATGCTCATGGGATTTGTGATTTGGGATGGGAGATGAGGAAAGACAAGTTTAGGACAGGGGCTGGGGTATAAGAGGCCTAGATATCAACAGGCAAGACATCGGACCCTATGGAGGAGACGCCAAGAGTCACATTTTTACCTTCCGCCTACTCCTTCACCTTCTAATGCGCATGTTTGAGCCGTATTTCTCTGGGAAGCTGGTTTTGGAATGGAAGGTCTGGAGCAGTGAGCAGGGCCCAGGCAGAACTTAGGTTGCGGTGAAAGTCAGTGAGAAGCGTTTTTCTTGGTCCTTTGAAGAGCAAGATGAGGACATCAAGAAGATCCAGACCCAAATCAGCAGCGGCATGACTAACAACGCGAGCCTGCTGCAGAACTACCTGAAGACCTGGGACATGTACCGGGAGATCTGGGAGATCAACAAGGACTCTTTCATTCGTCGCTACCAGCGCCTCAACCCGCCTGTCTCTTCTTTTGATGCCGACATTGCCCGGTGAGTGGTGAGGGTGGATTGAAGATCTGTCTGCAGGAGGTCAGCCCTGCTGGAGGGGTCTGGGCCTAGAGTCTTGGGAAGTGGGTAGGGGAGCTGAGGACAATGTGTGTCCTGAACAACAGAAAAAGAATAGGACCTGGGACATTGGACCTTTGCTTCTTAAAGGGCAGAGATCAGGGAAGATCTGGACAAGATTTAGGTGAAAAGCAGTTGGCTGGGGGAGGGTCACAGGGTCTGGTGGGAAAGAAGAAATGGCAGAGATCTGAAAGATGAAAGAAGTGAACTCTTTTATCCCATGAAGGCAGATGGGAGTGAAATTGAAGATTCTTTTGTTTGTTTTATTTTGTTTGAGACAGGGTCTTGGTCTGTCATTGTCCAGGCTGGAGTGCAGTGGTGCAATCATAGCTCACTGCGGCCTGGACCTCCTGGGCTCAAGCAGTCCTCCTGCCTCAGCCTCCCAAGTAGCTGGGACCATAGGCACATGCCACCATGCTTGGATAGCTTTAAAAAAAATTTTTTTTTTTTGTATACTATGTTGCCCAGTCTGGAAAAAAATCTTTTTTCTTTTCTTTTCTTTCTT